AAGCTTACTTTTTTCTCTTAACCTACTGAGACATGATAGTTTTAAGCTAACTGTTCTGTGATATTGTATCAGAATTTTAAAATGAAAAGCATAGAAGTCATAAAAAGGTGCAAAGTTTAAAAGATCACATGTTCATATCTTTATCACTTTGATCAAAAAGTAAAAGAAGATCTGTTCCCGCAAGATGTTACTGCCTAAGATCACTTTGGAATTCCTCCGTCTCTTAACTTAAATGATTGTTCCATGCCTAACAAAATCAAGTCCCATAAAAAGTCAATATTATGAGGAGAACCAACTCTTGGAAACCTTTTCAGCTCTTGGTTGGAAAAAAAAAGCACTAAGCATATTTTATCTACTTTTCCCTGTACAGCTCTTTGGTCAATAACAAAAATGATCCTGGAGAGCAGAAGGAAGCATAATATAAAGGACTCTAAAGCCCTGGAGAGCTCTCTGGTATACAGCAGTTAATCATTTCTACAGAGATATCTTCTCTTTTCCTATGTTAACTTTATACAGCAGATATTCTAAAGTAAAGACTTTCAAATTCTATAGGCAAGGTCTTAAATCCTCTTTAAGGTCTTCCTATGAACCTGGAATTTAAGATGCTTTTTTTAAAGCACAGCATGAGAATTCACGACTGAGTCAGTCACAATAAATCAAGTTTCAAGGTAAGCAAACTCAGTATAAATTCACGTTCACAGACAGGGATGAGGGTCTAGCCATGCTGTTAGTAGTAGTGAATTTAAGCATATCTCTTTTTAGTAAAGTTGGGTGTGGTTAACCTTGCTGGGGCGGTCAATGATTTTTATTTCCATCTGAGCTACTAATCCCGAAATTCTGTTCAAAGTTAAGGGGTGACTATTCTAATTCAGTATTTTTCCACACCTGCTAGGCACTAATGTATTTGACTGCTCAAGTTCAAGCTAATGGAGAAGCCAGTTTTAGTTATGGAGTTGGGGATATATTTGCCAACTGTGCAATAGATGGCACCCAAATTTCGCATAATCAGGGAAAATATCCTGGGATCCCCACTAATAACCATCATGCTCAACCAGGGCATGGGCAGAAGCATTGTAACAACAACATTTTTCAGCAGTGCAATATCAGTGCCCTCTTCTGCTGTTACGATTAAAAATACAGCTACTTATTAAGAAGTAACTTAGCTTAAATGATGTAGGAGCTATCTGTTTTTACAAATCTTGAGGGTAGTGACAAAATACAGTAAAACACAGCTCTTTGACACCTCTCAATTGCTAAATCTTGCAGTAAAAATGTTCAGAGAATTTGTAGTCTAGACTAATACAGAGGTCTCAGTGCTACATGGCAAAGTGTATGTCTAGAATAGTTGCAGTCTAATGATTCTACACTGAGAGGCACAATGCTTCCACAAGCTTCACTGTTCAATAAGATTGTGTTCACCTTCACCTCTTGTCAAGAACTGTTATGCGTGCAACTTTAAATTCTGAATTGTGTATTGTAATTGTTTGTGCAATCATACAGTAAACCTTAAATATATTTCTCATTAAAATAACATTTTCCTTCTGCATAATCAATACACTTCCACACTCCATTTTGAAGCAACCCTTCAAATACAGTTCTTTACTTGGCATCTTTCTCTGCTGCTTAAAAAGCTCTCTGGAAAGCTTATTAACTTCACTTATAGTCAATCTGTAGTGAAATACCTTTTTTTACAAAAGTTGGATTAGAGTTAAAAGCAGTATAGGTGGTAGTACTACTACTATTACTTTACACTTAAAAAGAGGTTAGAGAACTTGTCCAGGATCACAGAGCCCATGTCAGTCTGTGCTGGCATTACATACGCAGGCGTGGAGGGGGTTAAATGCAATTTTGCTCCCAACACCCTCAAGAGGAACAAAATACATTTTTTTAAATAAATTGTCACTACTGTTGAAAGTAAAGCCAACGGAAAATGACCTTAAACGACCACTTTCAGACATGAGACTGAGTGACATCATGACGAAAGGGGCTGGGGAAAAGGGGCGTGCAAATCTGTGTGGAGGGGAGAGAAAGAGAACAGGGAATGGCCTACCGCATGCTCAGCCATCATTTATACCTGCCTACCTCTCTGTATACAAGCTACTATCTTGGTATCCTATTTCGGCCATCAAACCAAAGAGGGTTCCTTCTCTAAAGAGGTGGCTATGGGATCACTCTCAGCTGTTTTTCTATCTACCTCCTTGGAAGTCCTACGTGTGCTACATGTAGACATTTCAATTAACTCACACTCCAAATGACTCTTTCAAATATCCCATTTTTGCAAATGACTACTCTTCATGCTTGAGGAAAAATAAGTATACATAAGAGACTCAGTCTCTCAATTAAACTAGGTAAACTGTAAAGCAGGGTTTCTCAAGAAAGAGGAGGAATGGAACTGCAATTGCTTTTCGGCTGATGGCTTGAGATAGATTAACAGGTGTAAACAATATCACTAGGCAGAGAGATCCTGCAGTTTTGCTTTTGTCTCGTCAGATTTCCCTCCCATATCTCAGAAAAATCATGTTTGCTTTGCACCGCTACAGACTGAACAGTAGCACAGAGTATCTACCCTGTGCAGGAACCTTTGTTAGCACTTTCACTAGAGCCTGTCATTCTAAATCCTCAGCGAATTTACCCTGCTTGCTGTTAAGAATCTAGTTAAATAATACCATTTGCTGATGCCATAACTCTTGACATCAAGAAAGCTTGTATGAAATTCCAGTTTCATGAGACGTTCTCTCATTTGAAGGACTTCTTTCCTATGCATGAGTCATACTCACCAAACCGAAAATTAAGAACATGCCCAATACTGAAAATAATAATCAAAAGAATGAAGGTGGGGGGGGGAGAAAGAATATGCAAAAATTAGAGTTCATTATTATCATTTTAAAGTACCAGTGTTTGTAAAGCATAAACACGTGAAAGGCTGAATCTCATTTGATCAACCCAATTAAACATTAAATAATTGCAGCCAATTATGCAAATATCACACAACAGTATTAATTTGTTGATCTTTTCTGAACAGTCTCAAATGCTCCTAATGCTAGACTATTTTATGTCTTAAATGATCAATTAGCAGAACCATAACTAAGTGATGAAGAATGGATAATTGCCTAGTTATGATGTACCATACTCTTTCTATGTAAATCTGCTGCAATTAAACAAATAGGCCACATAGAAAAGAGATGTGCAGATGTTCTTTTACAATTATGAGCTCAGGGAATACCACAGTTCCCTCCTAAATTTTGCAGAGTAAAATTGGGAGAATGCAATATCAAATACTCACTATTATTTACAAATATAATTTCTTTCCTTTGGTTAAAAAACAGTGACAATGCATGGCAAGACTGCATGCAAGATAGGAAGAAATACATTTTACTGACCTGACAGCTACCTTATTTAGGTTCAATATTTAAAATCTAGAGCCTATTCACCTGGATCTCATTTAGAAACAAACACAACTCTGAGTTGACACAGCCAGAGTAAAGCAATTAACCAAGGTATTAAAGACAACAGCTGAGCATACACACGCTCAATCTTTTCATTCTTCTCTGCTAGAAACAGCCATACATTTCTACAGGTCATTCCAGTTTAAACCCTTACAAAAGAAGTGCAGTGAAAGGAGAGGTTTCTCTCTGGTCAGTATAGGAAACAGTGCAAACCACAATCAATAAAACAACCTCATTTCCTCACCTTAAATTACTTGCATCCAATTTAAGAAGAGTTTTACATAACTTTTAGGTTCTCCACCACAATCAAATAATTGTTCTAACTTGCCCTTATTCACTCTGACTAGGGAATAGATTAGTGCTGGTATACTGATGCCCTGGTGGGGATTTTTGATATGTGATACTTCTTAACTTTGTTAACATCGAGAGATGTTAAGGGATCATACATCCAGTTTCCCATGCATTTTAGTTCGATATTTCCACCTTTCCTTTTGCTGCTAGACCTAGGCTGAATATTAAGGGAACAGATTACATAGTTCAGTAACAGCAAGCCACATATGGTTTCTCATTACATAATCTTTAAAGGGCTCCATGCCATGCGCATTCTAGTTCAAGGCACTCTTTAGTTATGGTACTTGCCTCAATGGATAAAACTCTCTACCCCAGACTGCATCTTGACATAATCCCAATATTAATTTTTCCACTCATCTAATGAGAGGAAAAAAGAAAGACTACCAGCAGCTTGTAACACATAGTAAGATACTGAACAAAAACCAGAACACAACACAGATTCAATGGTAAGAAGAGCAGATACACAGTACTATCGCTACTGTAAATGAAACAGCATTTTGTGCTTGCAGGTATATTCTAACGAGAAAACTGTCCAACATATTTTAACAATGGTTATATTGTCTGAGAGAACCTTCAACTGTTCTTCATTAAAATAACAGATTGGACTGCAGTGAAACATAGTAAAGTTATCATTTGAGAGACCAAAAGAAACTGATGGCTAAGTAAAGTTTGTCTTTAAAATACGTCCAAAATGAACAAGAAAGCAATACGGCTACTTTTCAGTTGCTATGAACTGTTGGATGAAATGACACTTTGCCTTTTTAAACTATGTTAACAAATGCCAGTAACAACTAAGGATTGTGACAAAGCATAGGAGATATACTAGTGAGTATTAAAAAAAAAAGTGCTAATTATTTCCCTTAATACTATGGCAATAAATGCCTCACTTTCATTTCTTATGGGACTACATTAACGTCAATAAAGTTCCACCAGCTTCATGCTGAAGTAGCACTTTGAAACATTGATACGCAACATGGTGATCCTTTTTGGCCAGAGACATCTTAAAGCTGTTTGACAAAGCTGTGTGCAATAACAGAAAGCTAATAAATATTATAGTATATGTTACTATACTATTGAGGAAATTATTTCCTTAACTATGGGCTACATGCTTTATATTGCTTCCAAAATGATATCAAGACTGCATGCAAGTGTGTAGTAGCACGTGAAGTGCTTAAACTGCAAACAGGGTTTGAATGATTCCTGCTGATGGAGCAGCTTGTTCCTTAAACAGGAAGGCCATATTAAGGAACACGTGGGTCCACAGAGCCTGGTTACATTTCATGAGTGGTGAAAGGGATGAGAAAACATTTTGCTGATCCAAATTAGGTGGCTGGATGTAGAAGAAAATTTCTTTCAATTCATCCTCAATCCGAACGCTTGGTTGCTCTTACTTTGTCCAATAAAGGCTGGTTCAACCTTCACAGCCGCAGAGGCCTAATATCATTTCTAGGCGTTCACCCAGAAGGCAACTCTGTATCAGCAGTTCCCAGCTCTGTGCTGGGCCAAACAGAGGCTGATTCTTGCCTGAGCATGGCGTGGTCTAGCCCTGAAGTGCACGTACGGGAGGATGGATTCAACAATTACAGACGTATGCCCAGCCCAAGCAGCCACTGCTCATCTCCACGGAGGGAAAGGCAGTAGGTCAACAGAATACATAATACAGGCCGGATCCACGCAGAGCATTTTGGACTGAAGGACAGAGCTGTTATTTGGCAGACTATGAATGAGGGGATCTGGAGGCCTCTGCAAATTCAGGAATCTCCCATACAAGCAGAGTACAAAAGGAAAGAGCGCATGGCTAAATTTAATTTTTTCCTGGACACAGCGCAAAAGGCAGAATAACGTCAATAGAACCTTGGGCCCAATGAACAGGCAAAGTCTTTGTGTTATATGGCAACCTGTTTTGCTGAGGATGGCAGTTAAAAAACAAACAAACAAACAAACAAACAGAAGAGCAGTTGAAGAGCATTTAACAAGTTTTTGGTCTGTACATAAGACACAAGGAGGCACTAAGAAAACCGTAACAGAAGTTCTATTGCTAACATCTAGCACCTCTACCAAGAAGCTAGGCTTCTACTAACAGGATTACGGTAGAAATCAAAAATGATTGTGTTCACAATCCCCTGATTGTAGAAACAATCATCCCGGGGAGCAAAGTGATACAGAAACTACACTACGCACAGGCACTACATAAGTTGTCATTAATCATGTTGGTTCTCTCTGGAGGGTCTGAATTCTTCCACCTTCACGACACCAGCACTGCCCAATTGCTGTCTTCTCTTCCATACTGAAACAAAGCAAAAATGGATTTTAAGAATAAAATTTAAAAGTAACGGTGCACAAATAATTACAATTTCTTAGGTCTCTCCTCAGTGAGATTCACATCCATCACCGTGATAATAGTTTACATGATTTTTTTTAATGCCTTTATTTCTGTCTTTGATTGTAGCAAAGCCTAAAGGCAGTTTGAAGCTTTATCCATCTTCTGATGAGTAGACTGGGAAGGGGTGATACTGCTTCTCCCCGGAGATGATACAGATTAGTCCTGCTTTGCTGGAGCTTTCCATCAATTTAATATGGTCATTCCCTGTGGTCAGTTCACTGATTAATTCACAAGTATGCCCCTGCTCAAGCTCCCATAAACACACACATTTGTTTTTCTTTATTTTCAAGGTGGTCGTTTATTACAACATTCTGACTGAATGTGAAATAAAACTAATCACAAATATTGCAGAGTACAATTAGAGAAAACTGTAACCCAAATAAAAGAAGTCTTCTTTCCATACACAAGCCAAAAGGATTACCAGTCAGCAATGGAAAAGACCTACCACATGGAACTGTATCACTTCCAGGGGAGGATGCAGTCCTAAGACAGCGCTTTTAGCTCTTAAAATGACTCCGTGTTCTAAAGCTCTTTGTCATTGGCCCGGTAAACAATGCGCCAGAGAGCCCCCAAAATGCACATATGGCTCAAGTATGTAAGTAGAGGTGGACAGAGACTAGCAGCAGATGTAAGATAGGGGCCCCTCCCCTCACAGTACCATGTTCAGGGAACTTGAAAATGCTCTTCAGCGAGGAATAAAGAACAGTTTTTAGAGGCCTCACATAGTCTGGAAAGATCAGTTGATAATGATCTCTCCAGAGAGAATAAAAGGAAGTTCCCCTTGTCCAGGTTATACATCAGCAAAGGATATAAAGGCAAAGGAAAGCAGGGAAAGGACAACAGCGCCAAATTAGAATGAGCCAGAAAAACACTTTTCACAAAGGAATCACATCCTCATAGGCAAGCTCAGGAAGTGTGAGCTGGATGAGTGGACAGTGAGGTGGATTGAGAACTGGCTCAATGGCAGAGCTCAGAGGGCTGTAGTCAGTGGCGCAGAGTCTAGTTGGAGGCCTGTAGCTGGTGATGTCCCCCAGGGGGTCAGTACTGGGTCCACTCTTGTTCAGCTTATTCATCAATGACCTAGATGAAGGGACAGAGCGCACACCCTCAGCAAGTTTGCTGATGATACAGAACCGGGAGGAGCGGCTGGCACACCAGAGGGCTGTGCTGACATTCAGAAGAACCTCAACAGGCTGGAGAGCTGGACAGAGAGGAACCTCATGAAGTTCAACAAGGGCAAGTGCAGGGCCCTGCATCTAGGCAGGAATAACCCCAGGCACCAGTACAGGCTGGGGGGGCTGACCTGCTGGAAAGCAGCTCTGCGGAGAAGGACCTGGGGGTTCTGGGGGACAACAAGGCGACCACGAGCCAGCAATGTGCCCTTGCGGCCAAGAAAGCCAATGCTATCCTGGGGTGCATTAGCAAACGTGTTGCCAGTAGGTCGAGGGAGGTGATCCTCCCCCTCTCCTCAGCCCTGGCGAGGCCTCACCTGGAGTACTGTGTCCAATTCTGGGCTCTCCAGTACAAGAGAGACATGGCGCTACTGGAGAGAGTCCCGCGGAGGGCTACAAAGATGATGAGGGGACTGGAGCATCTCTCCTATCACGAAAGGCTGAGAGAGTTGAGACTGTTTAGCCTGGAGAAGAGAAGACTAAGGGGGGAACGAGATCAATGTGTACAAGTATCTGAAGGGAGGGTGTCAAGAGGACGGGGCCAGACTCTTCTCAGTGGTGCCCAGCGACAGGACAAGAAGCAACAGGCACACACTGAAACACAGGCAGTTCTGTCTCAACATGAGCAAAAACTGCTTTCCTGTGAGGGTGACTGAGCACTGGACATGTTGCCCAGAGAGGCTGTGCAGTCTCCTTCCCTGGAGATATCCAAAAGCCATCTGGACACATTCCTGGGCAACATGCTCTAGGTGACCCTGCTGGAGCAGGGGGGTTGGACTAGATGATCTCCAGAGGTCCCTTCCAACCTCAACCACTCTGTGAATGAAGTTCAGTTTGCCTGTGCTTGTGCTAGTGTTCTATGACTTTTTGCTCAAGCGGGTAAAGCCTTTAAATAGCCTTCCCATCTATCACATCTAATTTTTCTTTTCAGTACTGACTCTGTTGTTCCTGGGCCCAGTCTGTGATGTGGTTGACTAACGCTGGTACGGTGCTACATAGGACCTTGGAAGGAACTATTTGTTCAAAGGATTTCCAAACCAGATTTCCAGATATCAGTGTGGTTGCTTTGTGCTACTATGCCGAGGAAAAGTAGGTGTATTCTTAGTTTAAGCACAAAGCACTAGATTCCCCCAATATGAGACAATTTTGTAGTGGATGGGGGCAAACGGAGAAAAAAGATTTCTGTGTCTTTCATACCACTTCTTCTTAGCAAAAGGAGTCACATCAGAAAGCAGGCAAAGGTCAGGAGGTTATCTGAAACGTTTGCTGGCTTTAGTTGGTAGTATCAGCTAATGCTCCAATTTAAACTTAAAATAAGTTAGATTCTTTTAGTGGAGAATGAGGAAATATAAGATATTTTTATGCTGAGTTGTGTATTCCCTCCCATGAGAAAGAAGCCATTTCTTTACCCTACCAAGAAGGACAAATCGTTGCAAACCAATAAATAATGTAAATCTCAGAAAACCTTAAATTATCTAAATCTCCACATTTAATGAATATGTACAGTGATTCTTAAGAAGATTGGTTGTTTTTGTGAACAGAGGCACAAAGCATTATGCATGTCAAAACATAGCACTTAAAACTCTCATTCAGTACAGGAAACAAAATACAGATGAACTGAAAACTGAAATAACAGTCCAAAATTTCAGAAATCTCATGGGCTGGGCTGAGCTGCCATTTGACTACTGTTTGAATTACTTCCAGAATTAAACAGGGAATGAGGATGTTATACCACAGTCAAGATGTTTTCATTTTGGAAATAAAAGCAGATTTAGTTTCCTTTTTTGTCTTTGCCATAGACTTTGTGAGGTTAGGCTAGTCAATCTCTTTTTTTCCTTCCCAAAGGTCCTGCTTTGTAAAACTCCGTTCTCCTCCCCTGGCTGTTTTATATTCACTTGCCCATTTAGATTCTGTGACTTTGAGAAAGGTAGGGCCTCTAACTAAATGTCTGTTCAAGTGCTCCTTGTCTTGACTGCTATGTTTAAATGTATTTATATCCTAAACAATATGTCTTACCTTTTATCCATCCTTTCCAAGTTGTATCCTGACCTATACTTTAAAAGGCACAGCAAAAGCTTGTTTATTCTCAACATATGAAATGCAAAACTACAAAAACCTCTGATTGGTATTTCAGTGAGTATATTCCCAGAGAAAAGAATCTCATCTCTAAGTCTTCTAACTCAAGCAGTTACAGAAGACAGTGTTCTATGACTAATTCATTCATAAGCACACCATTACTGTATACAACATAAATTATTTCATCTAAAATCTTTATTAGACTTTAATAATAATGTTTTCCACTCAGTGATAGGCAGGGAAATGTATACTGCAGTACTACCACTGTCTCTCTCAATTGCCATGAGAAATGGAATCAGTTCTGCCTAAAAGTTTCTAATTTGTCACTCTAGCTCTAATTCCCGCTGAACAGCTGTTCAAATCCAGAGAAATCCTGTTGAACACAGAAAACTTGCAAAAAAAACAATGAGCAGCAGGAAAACAGACTTGGAAACACAATAATCAAAATAATCTGAAAATGTTAAACAAGCATGTACTGCACACAAGGGAATCAGTACTGGATATGGAGCCCTGTACCTCTCGGTCACAGGTTCAAATGAAGGACAATGTGTGGATACTGAAAGTTATTACTGTCTCACGAATGTCCATTTTGAAAATAAAATAGATATTGAACACAAAAGTATTTCAAACATATCGAGCGTGTCCATTACTGAACAGAAAATGCCTCAGTTCAGGCAACACCACACCAGAGAGACCAAAGCTGCGACTGGCCATAATTTACATAGCATTTTATTCTTAAGAACATGCATATGCTTTGACCTAATAGTCTCAAACAATATGATAATATTCCAACGATACCTCAAAGGGATCTTTTTTTCTTCCTAGTAGAATATAAAAGTTCTTTGTGAAAGAACCCGAAAACTCCCTTGACATTTTATGGTATTATACATTCCATCTTGTATGTTACTGCATTATTTTCTGTACGACAGTCTGGAATAACAGATAGGAAAGTGCAGAAACACATCCTGTAGCCATTGATTGACTCTTCATTCTCTCTGAAAACCATGTTTCTAACAATGAAGAGTTCAAGCTTTCCTGGCTTTAAAAAAAGAAAAGCCAGGAAACTCTAGAAAGTACACGTACGCATAATAGTCCAGCACTTTCTGGGAGTGCTGATTTTGCTATTGGTGTGCAGCTGATGAGTACGTGCTAAGTACATTCAGTTCTGCATGCATAGTTTTAAGGCAAAGAGGCCCAAGGAAAATAAGGCAGTCTCCTCCAGAGCTGCTTTATTTTGGGGGGAGGGGAGGAAGGGGACACATCCTTAGCGAACAAGCTGGATGAACTTGTCTTGGCAGCCCATTCACTATCTATTGGCTAAGGGATATATATCCATATGAGTGTTGTCATCTGAAAGAGGACTACTGGAATTTATAAGCCACTTTTTTTGGAGAAGGTGCTCGTGTTGTGAAACAACCTGTAAAGGAGTACCTACCCCTCACATGCAGTGCTCAACAAAGGGGAACTAGAACTGGCCTCAACTCTTTCTGGTGCTGCACCGTTTCATGACTGCGATTGGTAGAAGTCATCAGTGGACACGGAAACTGACCATAATTGCTAAAGGCCCTAACAGATGAAGCATCACCCAGGCATCAGAAAGTAACACAGCAGTTACACGAGTGCTTTTAGACATTAAATATAGATCGCTGACACCCTAACAAGATGGCTTTAAAACAGAGCAGAGTTATAGAAAGAAAACTGGGGAGATCTTCCGAAGTGTGCTTTATAATCATTAGTATATACTGTAGTGAAAAGTGCATTTGCCAAAAATCAGTGTACAGCCTGTCCCTGAAACAAAACTGGTCATATTATAACAAGAGAAATAGTGATCCACACAGTGATTCTAGGTAGATGTATCAGCCACTTGGGATGAAAAAGAAATGAAACGAAACTGCTGTATATCACGTATACTGTATTTCTGTAGAAAGGCAATTATGTATTCTCAAAAAGGCAAGAAGATGCAGATGTTATAGGTAACCGACCTGGGAACAGAGAAGATGAAACCACTATCTCACCTCAGCAAATAAACAAAATATAGAACCCAAGATGCCTACGCTTCTTCCCAACTATCAGTCCTGCTATTTGAAGAGAAGAAGCCAGATTCTGAACCGTTACAGTTGGCACACAACCAAAACCAGAGAAATGCGGCATGATGAATGTCCCACTTCATCACCCTGAAAGTTGGGCCAGTCACCAACACAAAGGTAACAGTATCAGAACTTCTTTTCTCTTTCTGTTGTAGCCAACAATGCCCAGTGTTATTCCAAGGAACAAGAGACAGCTATCTCATGTCGTCCTCCGAGTGAAGAATAGCCAAGCGGCCTTGCTGGATCCTTTGTGCACAACCACTTCTTTAGGACTTACTGTAACTCAAGGCCAGCAGCTGTGGAGGTGGGAAATATGTAGAGAAGTAAGAATTCAGAAGGACCCCTGAAATGACATGAAATGCCCAACTTCCCCTTGTCCCAGACTGGTGCATCCTATTTGAATTAAGCAGTAAAGAATGAATCCATTGCTATTCATTGCATTTTCACTAGGACTACCCAATAACAGAAACCACTGAACAAATAATACCACAAGTAATATCACATTACAGAAATCAGCTTGCTCATTGTGAGATTTTAGGTGGGTCAACAGAAGATAACGGACTGCAATTCATGAGTGATTTTTGACTGAGGTCTCAGCTGAAGAACCCTATGTCAGATTCTTACTACAGACTAGTGAAGGGCCTGTAAAATAGAACAAACAAACAATTTTAAGACTTTCTTAAAAAGTTATGCTATGAATATAGCAAAAGCTATGACTGTAAAGCACTAACTAGCAGACTTGACTTGAAGAAATCATGATGAAACTGCCAAACAGCTACTACTATCAGATCTTAAACAGAGAGGCTTGTAATTTGTCAAGACCTACTCCTATCCCCTAATCCCCCACACCATTAACTACCCCCAAAAAAGGCAGAGAAAACAGGCAACTAAAACAAGAAGTGCTATTGTGTTCTGCTCATTGATGGTAACTAAAGTGGTACTGATGCTAATCCAGATATGGATGTCAAGCACAGATTCCAAATAGACTTTGATATTTAGCAAACCTCAAAGGAAGGAAATGTTTCAAGAAAAAGAAGTGGCCATGCAATTGGAAAGGTGCTGAGAACCAGAAACAGTGGTAATCTGGCTGCTCCCAGTGCCTACTACTTCACACACCTGTTTATTGATTAACTATATTCATCTGTGATTTTGCTTATTAAGAGGCTTCATCTATTTTTTTCCTTAAAATGGAACTTGTAACAACTGTACTGTATTTCACTGATAACAGTAATATCTTAAAACTCTCATTCAGGCTGCAAGATAAACAGGGAAAAAAAATCATCCTCCCTCTGTATCTTACTTTCTTGAGATAAAAAAAAAAAAGCATTGATAAATTAAAATAACCACACCAAACACAAATGCCTGTATTACTATGCCTAGAGCATCATTACTGAAAAAAACTTTTTTCAGTGTTTTCAAATTTTCACCTTTTATTATTTTATTTTGTTAAAGAAGAGGAAACATCTTACCTGGATATCACTCAGCTTATTCAGGAAACGAGTTGCTAACTGAGGTCCATTCTCCATAGTTGGAATGTGCAAATGCTAACATTGAATTGCAGGGACAAGAGGGACAAGAGGGACAAGAGGGACAAGAGGGACAAGAGGGACAAGAGGGACAAGAGAACATGTAATGGAATAATAGCTTTATACACATATGAATACCTTAGCATCACAAAGAGTTTTAATAAATATTTAATAAATATTATTCAAACATTAGAGCCCTCTTTGCAGGCAGGCAAGGATCATTGTAACATTTTTTCATGGGAGTGCATGCTAAGCCAGTGAAAAGTTAGATTAGCTGTACTGTTATGCTGTTTTTAAAGAAATGCCAACCTAAGCCTTCCAGAAGACTTGTCCAAAACAGAGAGTAAATAGTAAAGGCAAGAGTAAAATCACTAGCATACAGTATTCCATTTCAGAGTATATTGCATAGAAATACAATACTTATCAATACTCAGCACCTTGATGTGTCTCATATCATCCTAACACATGATACCATCAATGCATTCATTGTATCTAATTAATTCAAAAAGTATCCCCCCTCAAGCATTTACTGTACATGTCACATTTAATGGACATCCATATATCCAGCTGTAATTCCCCAGCCTTTCCCCAACAACTTTGTGCTGAGCAAAAAGCATCAAGTCAGCTTAACAGGCTGAAGAATTCCACCTGTGCAGAAGAAATCTCTCAGATGGCATAGAGCAGGTGGAAGCAGCTACGCAACCTCCTGAAACAGCTCTTCTACCAGAGCTGAGTTCCCCGCATTGAGGGGCCAAGAAGAAGAGATAAACTAGTGGAGAAAAAAATGCAGTGGCTCAGAAATTTGGTTCCCTGCAGAAATCTTTCCTCACCTATCTCATAGGACTTATATTTTTGAAAAAAAAAATGTTTCAATAAAATAAATACATTCTCCAGCCTTTCTGTTTTTTTTTTTTTTTTTTTTTCAAAACAGACCAAAACAGACAGGGAGTTAGTATTTTTGTATTCAGGAACTGAGATTTTGTAATTTCTAACTAAAAACAAAAGATGAGGCAAATTATTCTTCCAACTACATACCAGTAGCTCACTTGGCAGATAACATACCGCTCACCCTTCCAGGACCCTCAGGCAGCATTATAACCCCCAAAGCAAAGGAATTTCTTTTCTAGCTCACATGTTCTTTTTACTCTAGCTGCAATTAATTTTAAGAATTTTCTGAAAAAAGAAAAAGAGACATTTTCCTACCTTGCCCTTATATAATATCTTAGAGATAGGACATACGACACAAGCTGTTCCAGCACCAAACATTTCCTTCACTCTGTTCTCTTCCAAGGCAGCTGTCAGGTCACTCATGGTGATGTATCGCTCAGATACTTTAAATTCTCCCTGCCCGAAGAGAATCAAGTATAAAAATCGCTGTTTTTTGTTTTACACAGTTTAAACATCTCTAATAGAACTATATAGTATTTTTAATTAACCCAGCTCCACTCAGCCAAGTTTTGGCTACAATCTTTTCAAACCTCACAGTATCATGCAACATAGACCCTAATCAAAAGAATGACCTTCAAGGAAAACCAAAGGTTTGCCAGATAGAGTGCTGATAACTGATTACTTGGCACTCTTTCCTCTGTTTTGGTATTGAGCCTCAATACTGTACTAAGGAATAACACAGCAGAATTATTATGGGTTATGTGACACAGGATCTGACTACTTCATTAGTATGCTGAAGTTTGTACAAAAATGACTCCATGTAGAATGAGAGAGCTTTATATCCACCTGCAATGCCAACTAGACGCTGTACATTTCTTTAATCCCTGCTGAAATCTCACACTGCAGCCTGCGCGCAGCTGTCACATACAAAAATTAACTGTACCTCAGGTGCGAGTAGAGCAATTCACATTGAACCTAGTCTTAACAAAGGGGATTTTACCTTCTACAGGTGTTGAATGCATAGCAGCTGACCAAGGGAAAATGTTTAAAGAACAAAAATAAACATCAAACTTTGAAATTTTCATTACACAAGTTTATGTGGACTTCATTGTCTTATCAGGCCAAACTAGAGGTTAGCCCTTGTATTATAAACAAGCTTTTAAATATGGAATAGAGGCTCTCAAGAGAGCAGAAAACACCGTTAGTTCTGCACAGCATAGCATTTGGAGAGACAGACAGAGACTCTGAGCAAGCAGGGTTTCAGATAAATAAGGGGATGGAGGGCAGGAAGAACAGAATAACCTTTGTGAGAGTAGAAGACAATTATTCAAGAGGACTGTGGTGAGAGTCTAGTATCTCGCTAACAAGCCCTAGCAATTGTCAATATCTGTCTTTCTCGTAAAGCAGATGTGACTGAGAAGTGTGTGCGCGTACTTGCACTAGTTATAATCTAGAAAACAGGAGTACCAATATGAATAAACACGCAGAGTTTAGCGTAGGTCAACAAGCATTAACATGCTCCCTTGGTTCCCATTTAGTTGAAGGGATTTTTCCAGATCAGTTGAACTTTAAGACATTGAACACCAGGAATGACTTACTTCCATAGATGTTTATAACATAACAGTCGCTGTCAAGGTCAAAACACTCACCCAGTTGGATGCCAGATCCAAAATGCTTTGTCTTGTCACTCCTGGAAGGATGATGCCATCTAAAGGTGGGGTTGCCAGTTCATCTTCTGTCAAATGCAAGATGAATAAAAACACAGGTTAACAACAGCAACAACAATCTAACAGGAAAATCAAAAAGGAGTTAAATGATATTAGAAATGTTCCCTACTATGAGATGCAACACTTGTTAAGAGTTCTGCAAAACTGCACAAATTAAATTCCAATAAGATTTTGAGTATTCGGAACATTTTGAATTCATCTGATGGGGAAGAAATACATTTAATACATTAATAAACACACGGTTCAAGCCTAGCACGGTTCGAGTTTTATTCCCAAGTATATTATGGATTCACTGTATAACTACAGGAAGCCACTGAATGGCTCAATATTAAAATTCAGAATTGAGAGGGACAATGGAAAGCCATGCCTAATAACGTCAGGGCAGAACGTGACTTTCTCTGAATTGCTTTACTAACTTAGATATATGGAGTGTAGTATACTTACCTCCTAGCGTTAATATGAAACATTTGCCTCAAATTTTGAGGCTCATTTACTGCACAAGCAAAGTAGATGTGAAAATCTTGCCAAATGGGCTTCTTGAAAAGGACACCTGTTTAATGATCTTTTGCCTAATTCTAGACACTCTTTTTTTTCCCTCTCATCTTCTCTTTACTCCAAAAGAACAGCCTTACTAAAATTCCCAAAGCACCCACAATTCAAATTGTCTAACTAATGATAAGATTGATTTTTGTCAGCGAGTGTTTGTTTGTTTGTTTGCTTTTAAAAAAGAATACTAGATAAGTGTTCATCTAAAATAACTAATGAACCAGTAGATAAATGGCAATCCATACTTGGTAAATGATTAAATCACAACACAGGAGAAAGTTACATATGGTCTTTGTTCTTCTATCTGACCTTTTCAGCAAATTAGCAACTCAAAAGTTAGATGTCTTCATCTTAAACCATTGCATAGCACACACAGGGGTTTCTATTATTAGAGAACACTCAGCATTTACTCTTTCTGGCAGCCAGGCTCTTTAAGCCAGTTTCAAATTTTAACTAAGAGGTGAAGGCATCCAAAGTCAGAGAGTCTTTTCAGTCATTCTTTTCATATTTTTTTCTAACCGTTTTCTCTTTCCAGTAAGAATTCACTATGTTTGTTGATCTTAAAAAGATATTATCCTGCTCATTAAATCCATAAACCATCAAGATTTTTGATTTGTTTTAATCTAGGTGACATAAAACAACAAGATATGTATGTTCATGCTGTCATTGTATTCCCTTATCCCTCCCTGCAAACGATCACTGAATCTATGGCCTATTTGAAACAGTCTCGAAGGAGAAGCCATCTCAAAAAAGTTTCTGTAAGTCTTGTGAAAATTTGCAGCTGGATAGAAGAGAGAAACATGCTATTTGCCCTTCCATGGAGAGAGAGCAGGCTGAACTCCGCTGCTGAACACTCCATTTCAACAGCCAACGAAAAAATTGGTGCACAAACACTGCCTGCCAGCCAGTGCATACATAGCCCCATTCTAACTACAGCATGGGCTAGTATGGGGAAAATGAGGATAACGAATGGAATTGTTCATTACATCTGCTAGTCACAGTCCATTTTCTTGGGAATTTAATTAATTTAGACTAGAAGTTTATCCTACCTGTGCTTCCATGTTCCTTTTAAGAGGGTCCATGCATACATATGCAATTGACCTAAACTGCCATGCCAAAATGTATAAATGAGCTGCCCTGAAACAGCTTATATATATTCTGCCTAGGGTTTGACTCACCAGAAGTGTCTATTCCCGAACCTATCATAAATTTCTAAGTGCAGCAACATACTTCTTTCTCACAGTCAGAACAACACTTTTTCATTTGCGGAGTCTGTCTAGCATCAAATACAAAGTTCTTCACTCCTATTCGTGATGCCTGTCTGCTCTGAGTTCTGGCACAACTATCAGAAGAAGAGGACCTAAAAACTTTCTGTGAGCCACAGGTCTCACCTGAATGGGTTCTGAACACTGAAAACCCGGTGTTCTGCATTTGCTGACTTCGGACTCCTTAGACTCAGGCATGCGTGAATGCTCCCCTTCTTTTAACAGAAAACTTGAAATAACGTGGACCTTAATACCAAAGTTTGTGACAACGGACAGGATAACACTTTTTCTGGCAATTTTGCCACAAATGTTGGCCAGGACCTGTTTAAGCTCAACAATATATATTAATTGCTTTGAGCTACTTTGAAAAGGTGCCAGGTCAGACCAGCTGCCAAACAGCATTGAATATAAAGGACGTGGGAGTCTCAAAATGTTTTAAACAGCCTGCTGTTGTAGAATTTTGTCAAACGTACATCTGATGCTTACCAGCCTGGGGCCACCTAAGAAACATCTGCTATCCCAGCAGAGATGATAACGCTATACAACACACATGCCAGAAAGTTCATTCTCACTGTGAACTGTTGCCAAACCTGGCTCTATATGACATCAGTGTGTCCATCTCCAGGAAAGCAGACTGCAAGCCCACAGACTCCATTCGCCTTCTGAGTTATTTTGACGGGCTAAGAGCCCTAGAACTTAAAGTAGCAAACAGGACGGTGGAAAAAAATATTTGAAATAAAATTTCAGAGATTCTCTTCATTTGATTACCGTCATTATTTGTTAAGGCAGCAGCACCTTCAATCCAACGCCCCACTTTACTAGGCACCATACAAGCATGTCCTAACAATCAGACTCTCTCAGAGATTTTAAAAGGATTGTTGAAATGAGATTTTGCATTTTACTAAGCTTCAGTTTTTACACACCTGTATTTATGAACACACAGCAGATAATATTCCAACTATGGGATGCCTTCAGTACTAGTCGTATTATAACAATGCTGAGAAATTCGCCAAAATATATTTTACCAAAATGTTAATAGAGATAAGTGAATTTCAGGATCAAGGAGAACCCAGAAAACCCTGATTTCACCATTATGAATATCTGACTACTTCTCCCGGTTTGTTCTGCTCCTTTTTATTTCTTTCTCCTACTTAACTTCCCTCGGGCATTTCTTCTTACTTTTCCCTCATGCTATCACTCTCAGTCTTTGCCTCTTTTCCAATTTCAATTACTTGTCCCTCCCTTCCTTCATCTGCCACCTCATTCATCTGCTGCTCTCCCCTCCATGCTCTTGCTACAGGTTTCTATTACAATAGAAGGTAAAATCATTATTTTACTTGTAGTCTACCTGTACAAGATACTCCTACACCACAAATAATCCTTCACCTCCAGAACACTTTGCATATTCACCTGGCATTCACCTGAGAGAAGTTTTTCAAGTATTTAACGTTATGTAAGCTGTTTTGAAGTGGCCATAATTAATTTCCATTTTAATAACTACATGAAAATATTAAATAATGTCCAAAGGCTATTCAAAATGCTGTAACAGTAAAGTAAGAAGTAGAGCCCAGATGGTTCCAAATCATTCTCAAGACACTGAATTTTTGGAAAATATACACAGATTTCATAGTTAACAACTTTCAGGTTGGCCATATGTTTAAATTTTAAGGCTTTCCACAAAGTCAAGCCTATATTCTAGGCAGAAGAACAGACATTATTAAAGGAAACAAGGGTTTCAATGTTAACAGCCTCTTGGGATCGTTACGTGCTCTGAAGAGGCAGGTGGAAGAGACTTTAGGGTGATAAAAATTTTTACTTTGTGAACATAAACCATTCCTACCATTTGTCACTCTCCAGATTTGCACTACTGAAAATAGTATTTCATGAATGAAATATCACATTCCTTTATTTATGCAACAGCAGTGATCCAGATTTGGCCATATCATAAGCCTCAGCCAGAGCAACAGCAGGCATACAATAGCAGGATACAGCATGTCATATTAGTTTAGCAGAGATTGAGTAGTCTCCTCCCCAACTCCCTCCCCAGTGTTAGAAATAAGATATTTTTCCAGGTTCTTTCTGCTGCCCAGTAACAGAAGTTGACATATTTAGTCCCTTGCAAGAGAAATCCACTGTCATTGGAGGCATGGATGTCTGTTAGTCTAGACTTCACTGAGCTGCATTTCTGGTTAGATATAAACCAAGTGGAGCATGTTCACACAGTACTCTGCAGCGCACTGTGAACGCACAAAGGAGGACATTTTCCTTTTTACTATGATCTGCAATTTCTGCCTAACTATTTTCATGTTAGATCACTCTCAGCTGCAGTATTTCCATAACAAAACAAAACAAAAGCACAGCCTAAGTAAGTATCTTTTGTGAAGCGACAGAACGTAACGGCAAGCACTTTCTAAATCCTACTGTAAAGCCACAGGCAGGTATGTGATGGCACACGTTTAACTTTCTTGGCAGCAAGAGTGATTAACCACTCTTAACCAAAGAGACCACAAATTAAGCATTAACCAATACACTGGGAGATAGCAAAGTGCTCCAGTGATGCTAATGACCATGTCATGTCAAATGGCAGGTCTGTCAGTATAGAGTAGCTTGGGTGGCATGAATTACAAGTTGTTTGCTACAGCTACCTCACAATAGTACTATTCAGTAGTGCACTGGTAACACAGTGATTGGCAGATCTTTGGAACAGTACGGTGCTGCAGCTGTATAATTCTAGCATACTCCTGGTTTAAGTACAATGAGAACATTCAATTCTAATTATGTCCTCCCTTCAGTGTCCTTTCCCTGGGCAAAATGAGCCAAAATCTATTTTCATATCTCTCTAGTGAAGTTACACAAGGGGTAAATTTGGCCATCTAGCTACATTGACAAATCCACTGCTGCTATAACAACAACAACATTTTTCATATTTATAGTTTCATTCATGGGACTTCAAAGACTCATTCAGCACTGAGGAGTTATCATCCCTGTTTTTAAAGAAGTAGTAAAGATTTCGCACAAGAACAAGAAATGAAACTAAGAACAGGAGTCAGGTATCTGAACTGTCATTATTGTGTCCTGAACATAAACAAATCCAAAGCACACTGCCATTCCCACAGAACGCTGCCACTGCTCTGCAGCTAAGCACTGCCAGAAAAATGCCAATTTTCAAGAGTACCTATGGCACTATGATTAAATCACCGCAGTCTGAACCCTGCATCCTCTGCCATGCAAAAGTCCAACCACACTTAATTTTTACAGAGCGGTGTGTGTGGGCAAGCACTCATAAAAGTCAGGGGACATCTTTCTATTCACTTCCATATACATTGGCTCAATTCTGTAAGGACGCAAACGCATGAACTATCCTGAATCATTACTCAGGTGCAGCTAGTCCTTCTTAAGTACTAAATACTTGCAGGCCCACGGGGTGTTTTTGAGATGCTTAACTAGCTGGCTGCTCGTTAACTACATAGCTTTCTCAGCAGCATGTATATTGACCATAGATGATTGCAGGTGCAAGGAGGAAAAAATGGCTTTAAGAATGATGGTATATCTTCAGTATTTCTGTACTGTTCTGACTCAACGCCTCCTTCAAGATCAAACACGCTGCCTGCGTTGACAGCAAACACACAGCGAGAACCCTTGTATGGCTGGACCCTACCCACCTGAGCATGTGGATTGGTCCAGTAGATTAGTATGTCATTGGCAGGCAGTGCTCACAGCTGCTCCAGGTCGCCTCTTTTAGAATGGCATGACAAATAGTCACCTGGTAGTTTTCAGAAGGGAAGAGGCTTTCCTTTCATTAAATAACTGTCATTAAAGTTTATGAGCTGCACCCTAATAATCATTTTGTGGATTATGAGAGGAAGAACCTACGGATTATATCCCACAAACATGAAAAGGAAAAGCAACGCCAGTTGGCAATCTTTGGGCCAGACTGTAGCCCAAGCTAGAAGCCTTGCCCATAAAACATGAACACCTGCCTTCTGGTTCCAACTGCCCACACTGTTAGTCTTCATGTTTTGTGTTACTATACCTCCATCTTCATTTATCCAGTAGAGAAAGAGATTCATTGTTCCAACTTCAGTTATTTGATGATCTTCTCCATAGAGCCACAGAACCTGCTGGCAACCCAATTCCAGAGCTTCTCGCTGGGCATAAATAGAAGAACCATAATTCCTTCCAGAAACAAAAACAAAAAGCAAACAGATATGAGTATATCTGGCGGGGTATTTTCTCTCCATTTTCAACAACATTTTCATTTTCTCATTTCTGTGTAAGATTCAGTGCGCAAATGCACCTCCACCTTATGAGCAATTGTTCTTGCAGAGTCACTGCTTGCCCCTGAGATATTTTCATTATATTGTACTAGTATTCTACTAGATCATTTTGTATCTGTTACCCTAAAACGTTGAGGGGCTGAACAGAATTAACAGCTCAACCATATCCATCCAAACTATCTTAAAAATACTTTTTGTCCTGTTTTCTGGATGTTCTAATTATTGCAATTGGACACTTTAGGAAAGCTTTTGTTTTTAAGCGTATTTAGCAGTTGGAATCCTGGAGAGTGCATCAATTCCCGTCCACCCCATGGCTTTAAAAAAGCAGAACAAAACCATCTACCTCATATTATATATGTCAGATGAACAGATAGGTAGTTAGACCTCTTGGAATACAAAATCACCAGAGGCGAGCTATTTCTTTTCCAGTAAATAACATTCATAGAACTAGTAGCTCCAGTAACTCCAGAACTAGTAGCTCTCCAGATGCAGATGAACCTCAATGAACACCATATCCTCGGGTAGCAACTGTTTCTCTAAAATGCTGCCTAAAGGGTGAACCTAACGAAATAATATGTGTTTACCCTGCAGCCTCTCTGGGGGAAAAAGTCCTTCTGCTCCTGATATTCAACAACCATCAAAATCCCAAGTCAGTAGCTCCAAAGCGCTGACCGCACGGGAATTAAGTTTTCACTTCTGGGCCACAAATTCAAATAAAGTTTGTAGTGACCCCAAAGTATTCCCATCTTCACAGCTGAAGTATGACACGTGCAGAGTAAACAATTATTGTATTTGTAAAACTAAACAAACCCCACAAGCAGAGAGTAAAAGTCTAAGAACATCAGACTCAACGAAGGAAAGGTGTTTTTTTGCCATTTTACTATTCTACTAGCTCGGTTGAGCAGCACTTGACAACCTGCTAACTCCATGCCTACAAAAGACACTCTTAGGTAGAGTCAGCAAGCTTTGTTTAAACCACAGATCAGGCACGTATAACCTAGACGCTTACTTAACCATATCAAAGTTGCTTGTTCCAATCAAATCCTAAGCAGCTTCATTCTGACAATACCTCAAGTACCTGGACATCAGCATTTGTGTTTCTACCTAACAAGGGCTTCTGTCTACTTCAGGAGAATACTAACAGATCATGGTCAAGTCCATGTAGGTGACTGTCTAATGCTTTCCCTGAAACACCCATATTCCCCAGGACAGTCTGCCAAGGAAGGCTAGCAGTCAATGCTGAGCATTGCCCAGTTGGCAGCAGGCCACTATACGGAATGCTGCATCACATAAGTGATACCTACAGTGTCAACTTCTGCAAGGAGAACGACCAAAGTATTATACAGACACAGTTCAGGTCCAGTTCCCTGGCTTGAGACAGAATTCTCTCTCCATATAGCCCACTCGGCAGTAATCTCCAAACAAAAACAGGCAGCTGAATCATATCCACGTTTACAAAGTACAGTTTTGAAATCTTTGTTACAGTACACTGCTTGGTCAGCTGCTACATGTAATACCTTTACATCTTCTGCTGGATTAGGTACTTTACTAAAGAAGAAAAAAAAAAAATCTCATTCGTGAGCAGCATAGAAAATGCAGAATCAGGTTTTCTTACCCTCCCAGTTTGCAGTCCCCTGTTCCTCCTTTCCAGGCTCTTACATATTTTGGATCTGCCCATAAGGATATTGGATTAAAACTTCCACTTGCAAAGTAAGGGCCCACAGGGCTTAGTATGACATAGAGTAGGGCTTTAGTTGGCTTCTTCACTCCAAGAGAAGGCTGAAAATAAGGAATACAGACAAAAGTTACTGGTGTACTTCATTCCAAACATCAGATGTTGCACAATTAGCTTCTGAAAAATTGGTTTCCACCCTGTCAGCAAAACTTCTAAGAAGAGAAACATTAATTAACGAAAATCTTGATACTTTTCCTGATTCTTCCATGATCGTTCAAAAGATCATGCTGTTTGGGTTCCTTTATTTGTGCTGATTCATATAAGAACAGCACAACAAGTAATTTGGGGAAAATATGTGACATAAGGGAAAGGCCAGATATGGCGGCTAACTTGCAAGAAAGCTCAACAGCAAAAGAATTTTGAAGAACAACAGCAACAGAAAAAAAAACCTAACTTTTAATATTAATACTTCACTTTTACTATGTGGAGATCCTTTCATCTGAAAATCTGCAACTAATTTACAAACATTAAGTTAATGAAGTCCTAGAACACATGTGAAATAAATGAGTATTATGGTAGCTATTTACAGATATGAATGTGAATACAGGAATGAATATGGTAGGTATTTACAGACATGAATATTGTAGGAAAGTGACTTTCCTAGTTGGGAACCACATATTCCTTAGCTTCCTTGTCCCATGCTATCATTAAAGCTTTCTCTCTCACCACTGCCAAAAACCCCTTCAAGTTTTAATCAAAATAAGCTCCCTATTTCTAATTCACTTTATAAATACCTTATGCCTGACTCACACCCGCATGCAATTTGCAGAATGCACACAAATACCTAGGTGCTACAAAGCCTCTGCCAAGATCAGGTTCATCTGGGTTTGAGAATAAACTAACACAAGACCTGATGCTTAAATCTGGTAAGAGTGTCTCTCAGAAGAGCCATCTAAATTTACTGGGTAGAATCTTCTAGGATCCTCTCACTTAAGGTCGGGGTGGAGGTACGAAATGAAATAATGAAAACTACATAGTAGATTTCTGTTCCCTCATCTTTTCTCTGAATTATTAATATTTTAAAGGGTTTAAAATAAAAAGGGATTTAAAATAAAGGATTTAAAGGATTTAAAATAGAAATATTTTAAGAGATTATCATATCACAAATAACTCTCCTTTAGTTAAAAAAAAAATATTAATTTTACTCTAATCACTTAGAAAATTAATCAAAACACTTTACATTCAGTGATCTGAACCAATGTGTCCACTAGGTGGTGGTGTGGTCAACAAATTTGTGAAGTAGACATGCAGGTGATTAACTTAGAATTAAAAACACGGAAACAATTCACCCTTGAATTGTAGCGCTATTGTTTACTGGCTGCTGCATATTTAACTTTATGAATTAATGGTCTCATACTTAAATACACAAAAGCTAAGAGGAAAAAAATTTTTTTCAAACCTCAGTTCCAATTAAAGTAGGACGGATATACAGGCTGGCAGCGGTTGAGTACGGGACCCACTCCTTTTCCACTTCCACAAGCTTCCGGATGCACTCTAACAGCTCATTCTCATCAAAACACTGGAAAGGAAAAGCAAAGAGAAAAATATAGCCTGAACACTATGGACTTCATAGATCTATATCTTCAAGGGAACACTTAACCAAGAGTAGTAGTGACAGTCCACGGGGGTTCATATGACTATAACATCAGCTTTGAGTTCATTTCTTAAGAGATTTAAGATCACACGATCTTTGCCTCTATGCCTTTCTATATCCTAGCCTGAATGCCCTCCTGCTGTTACAAACTTTCTTCTACAGTTATGAAAAAGTAGCCATTTACAGTTTTAGCCTCCAAAGCAGATGGAAAGAACTCCATGCGCAGCCAACACATTGGCTTCTTAGGTGTCCTGAGAACTAGAGTACCATCTCTTTGGCAGAGGAATGTTTTGGGTAATGACCACAAGGGGCTGAGCAAGTCTCTCACTTTTAATGAAAAGTTCTTACAGTAATAAAGCTAACAAAAGACGGAGGAAATTCATTGGCCAATAAACGAGCGCTAGAAGCAGCATTGTTAGCAAGATCAAAAATGAAGGCACCTGCACACTAAAGGGCTTAACTGAGATGAAAAAAAGAAAAGCAACAACTACTGCGATAGAGCAATTTCATCAGCTGTCTGCATGCAAAGACCTAAAGAACAGTGCTCCTCCCTCAGAAACAGTCCCTCCACATCAGAGACAGCGGGGAGATGCTGGAGAAAGCAAAACTCTGCTGTGATTTAAAAGAAAAAATGTCAAACTATCTCCTTCACTGAGCAGGATCTCTAACAAGATTTAGGAGAACTATTCAAGAGTTACAGTATTTGATAAATGTTACGTTACAGTAGAGTTTTAGAGATTTACACTCTGAAAATGAAAATACTCTCTGACCTAAGGAGAATAAGATATGCCTTGGTTACATACTGGCAGAGTTGCTCGTTTTGCCGATCGCGCCATTCTCTCCATGTTGAGGCTCGGTCGAAACAGACGGATTTTGTCATCCACTCCTCGGTAAGCCTTCATTCCTTCAAACAACTACCAAGCCAAAAAGGGAGGAGGGGAGGGGAGGGGAATGGGAAAACAAATAGTAATTGAGGCAGAATATCCCATGATGACCTGTGTAGAAGTATAATATGCCCTTTGGAAGTAAAGGAACTTCACTTTCCTACCTTCCCTTCCTAACACTCATTCCTAGCACTGACAGTACCCAAAGCATTCATGCTAACTAGTTAATCCTTGAAGCATACTCCTGTGAGGTGTTATTTTCATGTTCTTATTACAAAGACGATCTGTCTACATTGCAAATACATCTTTGCTCTGTCAAGGGACTAACTGCTAACATCTTTCTCATAATTTGGTTACAACAATTAAAATTTGCAGCATGCGTTTGACTTAACTATTCCCTCATATCCTGACTGATATCTAAGGCTGAGCTGAAACAGTATTCTCCCTTATGAAAAAAGATCTAAAGAATTTAATTACATATGTTAATTATTTTTAGGGTTCTGTCCAAAATGCATTTTGGTAGGAAGCATAGAATAAGGTAATTAAGGGGAGCCTGCTGCAGCGCTTGCTGTAGTTCAAGCAAATTCTTTGTCACTCATTCCCCCATACGTCCCTATGCTAAGCGAGGGGGTTTAGCTAGCATGTGAGACAGGTGCATCGGCTCTACAGTAGAGGAATAATACATGAAAATGTTCTATGTATACTTTTCAGAAAGTTTAGATTGGTCATAATTATCTGATCAAATTGCAGAATCTGAATGACTGGTACTGCTGTTCAATTTATCAGAAACCCCTACTGCTCCAGTGTCCCACCTGCAGAACGCGTTAGTGTCTTCTAATTGCAGAAAAACAACATATGCCCACAAAATACCCATAGTAATTTTCAGTTATAGATTGATAATTTCCAGTTATAGTTGTAGATGAACATACATGCATTATATAAGCCTGCATTAATATATGAATATATACATGTATTATTTAGATTAAGTACTAAATAATTTTATTTATGCCTATACACAGAGTTTAGGTTTTTTAAATGTATTTTCTAAAGTATTTATTTGTACGTTAAATTTCAGCATAAAGTCCATGTATTGAACTGCATCACTTCTGTCAGTCTCCTCAGAATTCTTCTGTTTAAAAAAAAAAAAGCTGGAAATACATTCTGTGTGACTGGAAGACAACATATGTAGATATTGGATTAAGGAAAAGGAATCCAGTATTTGTAAGTAATTTTTACAGAATACTAAAGGTTTTATTATTATTAAATTCTACATTATCCCATAAGGATTAGTGAAATGTAAAGTTTAAAAAGCTTTCATACAGTCCCGTGACAGAGTTAGGTCCTTCCACATGACAAATTTTAATTGAGTTGTAACTGGGTTGCAGGAATCTAGGCAATTTTCCTTCGGCTACATACCAACTACACAGCAGAACCAAATTTAGAACTCAGAACTTTTTGCCCTAAAATTGTTCTTAATTCTATGACAATGGCAGCCTTATTAAAAACTTTGTGCACAGTACTGAAAAAGAAACTGTCCCCAAGACAGACATTTTAGCTACAAGAAAAAAAAAATCACATCTTTAATAAGCGATGGCATAGCTAATGATGCAAATGATACTCTGATATGATTTGCATTGGATCAGTTACTAAGTTATATCACATTCTTGTAATGCTATTTGTTCTTATCACAGTAAAGCTGTCCCCCCCACCCCTTCTCCCAACACATTTACAGAACTTTTAATGAGAGGGAAGAGGAAGGAATGTTACTACTAAGATTTGACCAATGGTTCAACAAAAGCAAGAATCATATCATTACTGAAACACAAAGCCTTCTCAAGCCATTAAATCTTTTTTTTAAATCCAAAAATACATACTTTTAACCTTCAAGAGCTCAGTAAAACCTTTCACTCATTAAAGAGGGAGACAGTGATGTGTTCCAGAAATGCTCAACTTGAATAAAAGCAACTGCTGCGGTTGCTTGATGGTTGGTTGCTACAGTGGTGTGCAAACAATATTATCTGACATTTGTACATCACAGGAGCTGGATCTGGAGTTCAGCAGATCCAAGTTATCACACTGCATCATGAAGGGCAAGGAGAAAGGGGAGGGAATGCCAAATTCATCATTTTTATTATACCCACTGTGTATTCATTGAGCCACAGCATTGGAACCAGATTCTCCTCTGTCTGTCCTCTTGGCTAGAGGAAACGTGATGCAATAAGCGCAAAAGAATAAAAAAAAAATGGAAAAAAATAAGAGCATGTTCATATTAGCAATGATCTCAGAGCGGGCCAGAGGCCGAGCACTAAAGCAATATGCTACTATGAGTGAAATACAGATTTAGGACTCCAGCGTGGTTTCTTGCTCCTTGGGCAGCTCAAGAGCTGCAGCCTTAGTCACAGGGGCCTATTGTCATTTACACAGGTCCTTTGGAGGCTAGGTGACTAGTTGGGAAAAAACCAGCAACAACAAAAATAGTGCAGGCAGGAGCTCAGGGACAGCTGGTGATAAAAAAAGAGAAAAAAAAAAAAGATAAAAGAAGCACACGCAACTCCACTGACTTCAGTGGAGTCACTCCAACCTGCAGAAGAGTGAGAGGAAAAGCAGACCTCCATTTCTACCATATGCTTCCAGACAGTTCAGTGCGCCCTGCTGAGGCTCTCACACAGATGTGAGTATAGCCGAAGCTGTTCTGGAGACACAAAAGGCAGCTTTAGACAGTAAGCAGCTAAGCACGGAAACTATTAACCACGCTGGTTTCCAACTTAACATTTCACTTTCCAAAGTCCCTTGCTGAATATTCTCTCCTCCATTATCCTTGTATATGCTGGATGTCTCAGATCGAGTTTGGAGCTCCAAGACTTGCTTGGAGTTGCAAACAACAATCTGTCTAATCTGTCCTGCAATCCAAACTATAAACCTTTAAAGCAGATTATAATAAATTTCACAAAGTGCATGTTCAGTCCCTAAATTAAAACTATCCTTGGAGTCCCACACAGTCTTATCCAGTGCTTCATATTAAGTTACATCAGTGACAGTAACTGGACTGGTCCACTTGTCAGCGAACTAGAACGCTTTCTAAAATGAATTTGTCACTGCATGAAAAATGGGCTCTCTCTCCTTGAGCTACAAAGTAAAGCGTGCTGGAAACCGCAGGCCAGAGTTGATTCTGAGATGCACCAACACACACATAACCCTACTATAAATAAAGGCGTTAGTTATTCTAGAATGACATCAGTTAACAAAATAAAATGTAACTAAACGCTAACAAAGTTAAGACAGTAATAGTCCTTATATAATACAATGCTATAGTTTTAAGAGCTAATGAAACAAAATAAACAGTTTCCAAGTGTGTTTAGTACTCACTTCTATAGCATAATGCAGAGAAGAGGACGCTGGATGCAATGAAAGGTTCTCAAGTGGCTTAATACAGGGTTTCTCCCATCCTGAAGACAAGGACCATTCAACTGTCAGCATATTATCAGTGAACACAGTACCAAATACCAAACCACTGGGGTCGGGTTTTTCCTTGAAAGTTGTAGCTGGAGTGATAATCAAGTCCGAAGCCTGAAGGAACATAAAGCCAAAAATGAAGTGTATAAAAATAATTAATTCAGATTGAATTAATAATGATTCTGCATCAGTGAACATGGACAAATACAGTATTTTATCTGCAGAGATACTTACTGATAGACTGGTTAAAAGTAGCTTTGTCTAAGTAGCAGGCAAAGTGTTTATACTTCTGTGTATGAAGACATACACATAGTGCTTCTTAGAGCACAAATACTTAGCATATTTTGAAGTATTGTTAAGTGGGGAAAGCAGTAAAAGGCAACAAAACAGTAAATTACCAGATGAAAATGTCTTGGACATTTAGATTAACGCGAATGGTTACATCTGTACAAGTTCCAGAAACTTCCGATTGCTATATCTCAGAACGTAAACTGATCGTCAGCCAGCATCAGAAATGAATCCTCCTCACAACTAAGTAGGTACGTTACACTGATTTTCCTTTAATGCATAAAACCAGGGTGAGAGATCAGAATAAGTGCTCAGCAGATTACTTGGGTCACACTAGCCTGTTCCTTCACATTTGTATTTTCCTAGAAAGACCACATTAGGACAAAGAAGGCTAAAGGTTTCCCCTACGTGATTAACTGTGCCATGCAAAGGCTTTCTCATACAAGCCATGACTAACTGGCTGACTGGCTGTAGAAAAGTATCATTTTTTTTTTTAATATGTGAAACATGGTAAAGAAGAGCAGGAAGGAGGAAGGAAAGCAGGATCTCTGGAGTGTTACTCCCCAATAATACACAAACAGGGACAAAACAACTACAGAGGGCTGTAAAATGGGCAGGGTCTTGATCTGCTCTCTTTCTAGACCATCTGAGCATTTACACCGGGCTGGTCAGCGAGGCAAGGAAAAATTAAAGGGACAAGTCCGTTCTAGGCTGCATTTTCTTTCCTAATATGACTCGGAAAGCACTGCCCTTTATTACAGGGAAATCTCACTCTTCTACCTTGGGTACACATAGAACAGACTAGAATGCAGTTACGTTAGACTCCTGTGCACTAAAGGAGGTTCTGCAAGAGTTATCACTAATTTTGACTTTTCATACTCAGCATACATTTACAAAACACTAGTCTCAAGCTTTTGAAAATTCACCGCCCCATCTCTGTAACAACCTGATTTTCAAGATGTCTTTAATGAACAATGGCCTATTTTTTACTGTTCTTTTTTGCTTAATGGCTTAGATGTGAAATTAACTGAGAGCTGGAGCACATGAACAGCTAAAAGCGTGTTTTAAACAATCTCCAATTATAGGGCTTGTCCAGATACTACAGTGCATTAGCCTGGTTGTACTAATACATAAGCTGATGAAAAAACAATTACTCTTCTTAACTCTTTAGAGTACCCTTTATCCTGCGGGCAGTGAGTGCGCCAATGGGAAAAGCGCTATTAATGATTTACTGAAAAAAAAAGAAAAAGAATTTTACCTGAAAACCTCTTATCATGCACTTTGAGAAAAGATAACACAAAAGAGCATGAATCAAAATAAAAGCCAGGAAACGGTGTTTGCAATTATCCACACTATAAGACTAAGTTTAGGAAAACACTTAGGTGAGAGTAGGACTTATGCAAGGAGGTAGAACACAGTTAGATAGGTGGCTTTATCTCAGAACAGGGATGCTTGAATCAGAGCTTCTAAGAATTCTTATTGCCAGTGATACTAACAGCCCTCCCTGAAGTTAATGCTTCTGTCTC